TGGGTGAGTGGATGAGTTGGGCTGGTGAGCCAGTGAGCGTGTGGTTTAGTGAGTGAATTAATACGTGAGTGAGTGAATGAATACGTGAGTGATTGAGTGAGTTTGTTGGGGAGTCAGTCGGGGTGTGGTTCAGTGAGTGAGTGACTGAGTGAGTGGGTGAGCGAGTCTGTGAATGAGAATGTGGGTAGATTGAGCGAATGGGTGAGTGGACGGGTAAGTGAATGTGTCGGTGAGTGGATGGGTGAGCGGGTGTGTGGGTGGGTGAGTGGGTGGGTGGGTGGGTGAGTGGGTGGGTGGGTGGGTGAGTGGATGTGTGGGTGAGTGGGTGAGTGGGTGGGTTGGTGAGTGGGTGGGCGTGTTTTCATGTGGGGAGTGGTGGCTCACGGCCACCACCAACACCAGTGACCGATAATTATCTGAACCAATCCTGGGCCTGCCCTAGATTGACTCAGCCTCAGACGAGTACCCAGTACGATGAGCAAACATCAGCAATGGGCGGGGAGACAAAGGCGGCTGAGGGTGGTGCTGACAACACCACCCCGCACGTGCGGCATACTGGCCTTAGCGGCTCGATTGCAACACTTGGCCCAAGCAGCCTGTGCAGGCTACACGGGGGACCTTTATCTGTGCTGTGTGTGTGTGAGTGCGTCTATCGCCACGTGGGGAGCGGTAATGTAGCGGTTAGCGCGCTGCGCTACGAACCTAGCGACCCAAGTTCGATTCCCGCTCACGGCCAACATCAGTGACGATTATCTGAACGGTTCCTGGGCCTTCCCTAGGTCGACTCAGCCTCAAATGAGTAAAAGGTGCGGTGTGTAAAAACATCGTCACTGGGGAGACAAAGGCGTGGTGCTGGCCACCCACCCCCTCGTGTGCCGTTCTGGCTTTCATTGGTTCTCCCTAACAGCACTTGCCCCAACAGTCTGTTAAAGCTATACGGGGGATCATTGTCTTTGTCTATCGCCACGTGAATGCGCCGTGTTCATAATGGCCAGGGCTGTACTGACGCCACTAACATCCTATATACCCCTTCGGGGATAAGGGGTTGTGGTTAGGTTAGGGGGTGCTCTGCACCCCATTAATAGAGGGTCTTAGGTCCCCTTTAATTAAAGGGGTTTCCAGAAGAAAATAAAAACCACGGACCCCCCAAGCTATCCCCTCGGGGTTTCTCTGTGGTCTGGGCAGTGGGGATGTGGGAGGGGGGGGGGGGGGTGTCTGGCTATCGGGGGATGAGGGGAGGGGTTCTGGGGGATGAGGTTGAGCGGAGGGGGTTGAGGGGAGGGGTTCTGGGGGATGAGAGAAGGAGGTTAGGGGGGAAGCAGTGGAACAGAGATAGCGGAATGAGACAATGGCTATTGTTGTTATGGGGGCACGGTGAGGGGGAAACACGGGGGGTGGGGGGTGGAATAATTGGGTGGAGGAAACAGGGAAAGTAGAGGGAGCAGGAGGAGCCGGAGAGAGCATGGGGGAGCTGGGGGAGCTGGGGCAGCTGGGGGAGCCTACAGAGCATTGGGGAGCAGGAGAACCAATGGGGAGTAGGGGGAGCAATGGGGAGAAGGGGGAGCAATGGGGAGAAGGAGAAGCAATGGGGAGAAGGGGGAGCAATGGGGAGTAGGGGGAGCAATGGGGAGAAGGGGGAGCAATGGGGAGTAGGGGGGGCAATAGGGAGTAGGGGGAGCATTGAGGAGCAGGAGAAGCAATGGGGAGTAGGGGGAGCAATGGGGAGTAGGGGGAGCAATGGGGAGTAGGGGGAGCAATGGGGAGTAGGGGGGGCAATGGGGATAAGGGGGGGCAATGGGGAGAAGGGGGAGCAGAGGAGACCCGGCAGGGGGGGGGGGGGGTGCGGGGGGGCAGGTGAGAGCAGAAGGAGCCGGAGAGAGCAACGGCAAGCAGAAGGGAGCATGGGCGGCGGTAGGGAGCAGGGGGAGGGGGGAGCAGGAGGCCCGGGAGTGGGGGAGCAGAGGGGGTAGCAGAGGGGGGGGAGGCAGGGGGGGGAGCAAGGGGGGGAGCAGGGGGGGGAGTAAGGGGGGGGAGCAGGGGGGGGGGAGCAGGGGGGGGACAGGGGCCCTGCCTCGTGGCGGCGTATCAAAGTGACGTCCTCCCCCGTGGTTGTTTTTGTCGCGGCCATCGACTCCTCCACTATTTATGTTGTGCCGAGCTTGCACTTCCCCCCCCCACCTCACCGTCTCGCCCCCTCCTCCTCCTCACCCCCCTCCTCGCCCTCTCACTTCCTTTTCGTGCTCTCCCTTCTAATGCCCCCCCTCCCTCCCCCTCTCTGTCACCTCTCACTCTCGCCGCGTCTTCATCTCTCCCAGAGTTGTTCTCTCCCCTCCCTCTCCGCGCCCTTCTCTCTTCTCACTCGTTCCGCTCTCCCCCCCCACCTCTCTCTCCTCTATCACAACTCGCCTCCCTCTCTGCCTCTCCCCTCCCCGTGTCTCACTTCCCTCACTCTCTCCACTCTCCTCTCTCTCCATTCTCGTCGTTCCCGTGTCTCTCTCTCTCTCCCAGTTGTCTCTCCGCCCTGTCTCTCTCTCTCTCCCTCCCTGTATCTCTCCTCTTTCCTCTCCCTCTCTCTCTCTCCCAGTTGTCTCTCCGCTCTGTCTCTCTCTCTCTCCCTCCCTGTATGTCTCCTCTTTTTTCTCCCTCCCTCTCTCTCTCCCAGTTGTCTCTCCGCCCTGTCTCTCTCTCTCTCTCCCTCCCTCCCTGTATCTCTCCTCTTTCCTCTCCCTCTCTCTCTCTCCCAGTTGTCTCTCCGCCCTGTCTCTCTCTCTCTCCCTCCCTGTATCTCTCCTCTTTCCTCTCCCTCTCTCTCTCCCAGTTGTCTCTCCGCCCTGTCTCTCTCTCCCTCCCTGGATCTCTCCTCTTTCCTCTCCCTCTCTGCTCTACCGTCCCCGTGTCCCTACTCCCTCTCGCTTTCTACTCTCCCCCATCCCCTCTCGCTCTCCCCTCCCTGCGTCTCTGATCAGAAGTCGATTGACGATCTCTCTTGGTCCATCACCAAAGCGGCTCCTCCACACTCCCCCACCTCTCCATCAAGTCCCTCTCCCCCCCCCCTCCCCACCTCTCTCTCGCTCTCCCTTATCTCTCACAACTTCACATCGTCTGCCCCCCCCCCCCTTCTCCCTCTCTCTACCATCTCCCTTCACTCTCCCCTACCGCTCCTCTATTACCTCTCCCTTCTCTCTTCCCTCTCTTCCCTGATCTAAACTCTCCCCCCTCGCTCTCCCCCCCGTCCCTCTCCCACCCTCTCCCCTCTCCCACCCGTCGTTTGCCCCCGGCTAGAGAAGTCGTCTTTAAAGACCCGGGAGATCAGGGGAGAGGGAAGGGGGGGGGGGGGATGGGGGTCGTGTCGTTAGTGAAGTCTCAACATAAACTGTGACTTGCACATCGATCGCACATGACTGACTGCCAGTGCGTGCGAGTGTGTGTGTGTGTGTAAGAGTGTGTGTTTGTGCGAGTGCGCGTGTGTGTGTTTGTGTAGGGGCAAGCGATGTTAGCGAGCACCTATAAAGGCCGGCACGGCACACGAGGGGGTGGGTGGCCAACACCACGCCCGGCCGCTATACGGGGGATCTTTGTGTGTGTGTGTTTGTGTGTGAGTATTTGGGTGTGAGTGTGTGCGTGAGTGTTTTGGTGATTGAGTGTTTGTGCGAGTGGTAGTGCAGTGGTTAGCGCGCTGCGCTACGAAACTGGCGACCCGGGTTCGATTCCCGCTCACGGCCAACACGAGTAGCCTCCCCTAGGTCGACTCAGCCTCATATGAGTATCGGGTACGGTGTGTAGACATCGCCACTAGGGAGACAAAGGCGGCCGGGCGTGGTGCTGGCCACCCACCCTCTCACGCGCCGGGCCGCCCTTTATAGGTGCTCGCTAACAGCACTTGCCCCAACAGTCTGTTACAGACTATATGGGGGATCTTTGTCTTTGTGTATCGTTGTGTGGGGAGCGCTGGCGTAGCGGTTATCACGCTGCGCTACGAACCCGGCGACCCGAGTTCGATTCCCTCTCACGGCTAACACCGGTGGCGATTATCTGAACCGGTTTTAGGCCTCCCCTAGGTCGACTCTGCCTCAAATGAGTACCTGGTGCGACCTTGATTGGTGCTCGCTAACAGCACTTGCCCCAACAGTCTGGCAAGGCTATACGGGGAAGGGGCGGTCTTTGTGTACAGGTGAGAGAGTGTACAGGTGAGGGAGTGCACAGGTGAGAGAGTGTACAGGTGAGGGAGTGCACAGGTGAGAGAGTGTACAGGTGAGGGAGTGTACAGGTGAGATAGTGCACAGGTGAGAGAGTGTACAGGTGAGAGTGTGTACAGGTGAGATAGTGTACAGGTGAGAGTGTGTACGGGTGAGAGGGTGTACAGGTGAGATCGTGTACAGGTGAGAGAGTGTACAGGTGAGATAGTGCACAGGTGATAGAGTGTACAGGTAAGAGAGTGCACAGGTGAGATAGTGCACAGGTGAGAGAGTGTACAGGTGAGAGAGTGCACAGGTGAGATAGTGCACAGGTGAGAGAGTGCACAGGTGAGAAAGTGCACAGGTGAGAGAGTGTACAGGTGAGAGAGTGTACAGGTGAGGGAGTGTACAGGTGACAGAGTGTACAGGTGAGAGAGTGTACAGGTGAGAGAGTGCGCAGGTGAGATAGTGTACAGGTGAGAGAGTGTACAGATAGTGTACAGGTGAGAGAGTGTACAGGTGAGAGAGTGTACAGGTGAGAGAGTGTACAGGTGAGATAGTGCACAGGTGAGAGAGTGTACAGGTGAGATAGTGTACAGGTGAGAGAGTGTACAGGTGAGGGAGTGTACAGGTGACAGAGTGTACAGCACAAGAGGAATGTGGGGAGAGATAAATCTCGACCAAACCGACCCTGCCCACCGCTGTCCGTGGTGCTGAATTTCACCCTAGCGCTTACGAGATGAGGCGAGTGTGAGTGTTGATGCGAGTGTGAGTGTTGGGGGGAGTGTGAGTGTTGATGCGAGTGTGAGTGTTGATGCGAGTGTGAGTGTTGATGCGAGTGTGAGTGTTGGGGCGAGTGTGAGTGTTGGGGCGAGTGTGAGTGTTGGGGCGAGTGTTAGTGTTGGGGCGAGTGTGAGTGTTGGGGCGAGTGTGAGTGTTGGGGCGAGTGTGAGTGTTGGGGCGAGTGTGAGTGTTGATGCGAGTGTGAGTGTTGGGGCAAGTGTGAGTGTTGGGGCGAGTGTGAGTGTTGATGCGAGTGTGAGTGTTGGGGCGAGTGTGAGTGTTGGGGCGAGTGTTAGTGTTGGGGCGAGTGTTAGTGTTGTCATGAGTGTGAGTGCTGGGGCGAGTGTGAGTGTTGGGGCGAGTGTGAGTGTTGATGCGAGTGTGATTGTTGGGGCGAGTGTGAGTGTTGGCATGAGTGTGAGTATTGGGGCAAGTGTGAGTGTTGGGGCGAGTGTGAGTGTTGGCATGAGTGTTGGCATGAGTGTGAGTGTTGGCATGAGTGTGAGTGTTGGGACGAGTGTGAGTGTTGGGACGAGTGTGAGTGTTGGGACGAGTGTGAGTGTTGGGACGAGTGTGAGTGTTGGGGCGAGTGTGAGTGTTAGGGCGAGTGTGAGTGCTGGGACGAGTGTGAGTGTTGATGCGTGTGTGAGTGTTGGGGCGAGTGTTAGTGTTGGGGCGAGTGTGAATGTTGGGGCGAGTGTTAGTGTTGGCATGAGTGTGAGTGTTGGGGGCGAGTGTGAGTGTTGGGGCGAGTATGAGTGTTGATGCGAGTGTGAGTGTTGGGGCGAGTGTTGGGGCGAGTGTGAGTGTTGGGGCGAGTGTGAGTGTTGGCATGAGTGTTAGTGTTTGGGCGAGTGTGAGTGTTGGGGCGAGTGTGAGTGTTGATGCGAGTGTGAGTGTTGGGGCGAGTGTGAGTGTTGATGCGAGTGTGAGTGTTGGGGAGAGTGTTGGGGAGAGTGTTGGTGCTGCGGCGAGTGTTAGTGTTGGGGGGAGTGTTAGTGTTGGGGCGAGTGTGAGTGTTGGGGCGAGTGTTAGTGCTGGGGCGAGTGTTAGTGTTGGGGCGAGTGTTAGTGTTGGCATGAGTGTGAGTGTTGATGCGAGTGTTAGTGCTGGGGCGAGTGTGAGTGTTGGGGCGAGTGTTAGTGTTGGGGAGAGTGTTAGTGTTGGCATGAGTGTTAGTGTTGGCATGAGTGTGAGTGTTGATGCGAGTGTTAGTGCTGGGGCGAGTGTTAGTGTTGGGGGGAGTGTTAGTGTTGATGCGAGTGTTAGTGCTGGGGCGAGTGTTAGTGTTGGGGAGAGTGTTAGTGCTGGGGCGAGTGTTAGTGTTGGGGCGAGTGTTAGTGTTGCCATGAGTGTGAGTATTGGGGCGAGTGTGAGTGTTAGGGAGAGTGTTAGTGTTGGGGAGAGTGTTAGTGTTGGGGCGAGTGTTAGTGTTGGGGCGAGTGTTAGTGTTGGGGCGAGTGTTAGTGTTGCCATGAGTGTGAGTATTGGGGCGAGTGTGAGTGTTAGGGAGAGTGTTAGTGTTGGGGAGAGTGTTAGTGTTGGGGCGAGTGTTAGTGTTGGGGCGAGTGTTAGTGTTGCCATGAGTGTGAGTATTGGGGCGAGTGTGAGTGTTGGGGAGAGTGTTAGTGTTGGGGAGAGTGTTAGTGTTGGGGAGAGTGTTAGTGTTGGCATGAGTGTGAGTGTTGGGGAGAGTGTTGGGGAGAGTGTTAGTGCTGGGGCGAGTGCTAGTGTTGGGGCGAGTGTTAGTGTTGATGCGAGTGTGAGTGTTGGGGAGAGTGTTTGGGTCACAGGTAGGAGCTCTCCATGGTGCTAGAGGCGTGAAGGCTTGGTGGTGGTGGTGGTGGGGGGGGTCACTCCTGTTGTTGGGGGAGGGGGACTAGAGTCGGTGTCACGAGACGGAAGTTCACGACCACTCCCCGCCCCACCCCTCAGGTGGAGCTGTCCGCGGTGCTGGATGCGGGCGGCCCCACTCTGGCGGGGCTGCTGTCCCGCGCGCAGGAGCTCGTGTCCCGCCTGCAGGCGCTCCGACTCGACCGCCGCGAGCTCGTGTGCCTCAAGTTCCTGCTGCTCTTCGGCAACGGTGAGATAGGCGTGGAGGCGTGGAGCCCCCCCCCCACCCCTCTCGCCCAGCCCCCCCTTCTCGCCCAGCCCCCCCCTCTCGCCCAGGCCCCACCCTCCAGACCCACCCCTTCCAGCTCCCCACCCCCTACAGCCCCCCACCCCTTCCCGCCACCCCCCCGCCCCCCCCAGCCCCCCCTCTCGCCCAGCCTCCCCCCTCTCGCCCAGGCCCCCCCTTTCGCCCAGGCCCCACCCCCCAGCCCCCCCCCCAGCCACCTCCCCCAGCCACCCTCCAGCCCCTCCTACAGCCACATTCCAACCGCCTTTGTCTCCCCTGCGGCAATGTCCACACACCTTCACCAGATAATGATTGACGCTGAGTCGACCTAGGGGAGGCCCAGGACCGGTTTAAATAATCGTCACCGGTGTTGGCCGTGAGTGGGAATCGAACTCGGGTCGCCAGGGTTCGTAGCTACAACGACCGCTCACCAAATGAACAAACACACACACACACACACGAACGTACACACGCGCGCACATACAGACACACACACACACACATGTAGGTACACACAGACGCATAGACACACGCATGTATGTACACACGGACACCCACGCGCACACACATACACGTATACGCGCACACGCGCGCCTTCTGGTAACAAACGTGGAATGAGGGAAGGAGGAGGAAGAGCGCGGGACATTGGGTCCGAAGGACGCGCGCTCGCGCGGGAACTAAAGGCGCTGAGAGAAAGGGGAGACAAGGGGGGAGGGAGGGGGAGGAGGAGGCGCGGAGCGGAATCAATCAGCGAGCGTGGCGCAGAGAGAGACGGAGAGAGAGAGAAACAGAGAGAGACAATGCGAGAACGGCGCACGGAATGCAGGGCGACTAACACCCCCCCCCCCCCACTCATCCTGCCCGAGCCCGCTCACTCACCTAGCTCACTCACTCACCCACAACTCACCTCACTCGCTCACTCACCGGCACACTCACCTAGCTGACTCACTCACCCACACTCACCTAGCTCACTCACTCACCTGCACACTCACCTCGCTCACTCACTCACCCACACTCACCTAGCTCACTCATTCACTCACCCACACTTACTTAGCTCGCTCACTCACCCACACTCACCTAGCTCACTCATTCACTCACCCACATCCACCTAGCTCGCTCACTCACTCACCCACACTCACTTAGCTCACTCACTCACTCACCCACACTTACCTAGCTCGCTCACTCACCCACACTCACCTAGCTCACTCACTCACCTGCACACTCACCTAGCTCACTCACTCACCTGCACACTCACCTCATTCACTCACTCACCCACACTCACCTAGCTCACTCACTTACTCACTCACCCACACTCACCTAGCTCACTCACTCACTCACCCACACTCACCTAGCTCACTCACTCACTCACCTAGCTCACTCACTCACTCACCCACACTTACCTAGCTCGCTCACTCACCCACACTCACCTAGCTCACTCAATCACCTGCACACTCACCTAGCTCACTCACTCACCCACACTCACCTAGCTCACGCACTCACTCACCCACACTCACCTAGCTCACTCACTCACTCAACCACACTCACTCACCTAGCTCACTCACTCACCTAGCTCACTCACTCACTCACCCACACTCACCTAGCTCACTCACTCACTCAACCACACTCACCTCACTCGCTCACTCACCTAACTCAAATTTCGATTTAAAGCTTTCGTGACTGCAAGGATTCATCTTCTTTGGTTCTTTCGGTAAAGTCACCAAGTAGAATGAGAATAAAATAATAAATTAATAAAATAAAAAAACGCAATAAAATTCACACACACACTCACACACACTCACACATACCACCCTGGGTCTACAAAGATCCCCCATATAGCCTTAACAGACTGTAGGGGCAAGTGCTGTTAGCGAGCACCTATGAAGGTCGGAACGGTACACGAGGGGGTGGGTGGCCAGCACCACGCCCGACCGCCTTTGTCTCCCCAGTGGCAATGTTTTTATCCACCGCACCAGGTACTCATTTGAGGCTGAGTCGACCTAGGGGAGGCCCGGGACCGGTTCAGATAATCGTCACTGGTGTTGGCCGTGAGCGGTAATCGAACCCGGGTCGCCAGGTTCATAGCGCAGCGCGCTAACCACTACACTATTGCCCCCCCCTGGGTCTACACACACACACTCACACACACACACACTCACTCACACACACTCACACACACACTCACACACACACTCACACACACACTCACACACACTCACTCACCACACACTCACACACACACTCACTCACACACACTCACACACTACACTCACATCACTCACCTGCACACTCACCTAGCTCACTCACATCACTCACACACACACTCACACACACACTCACACACACACTCACACACACTCACACACACACTCACACACACTCACACACACTCACACTCACTCACTCACCGACACTCACCTCGCTCACTCACTCACCCACACTCACCTAGCTCACTCACTCACATGCACACTCACCTAGCTCACTCACTCACTCACCCACACTCACCTAGCTCACTCACTCACCTGCACACTCACCTAGCTCACTCACTCACCCACACTCACCTAGCTCGCTCACCCACCCACACTCACTCACCTAGCTCACTCACTCACCCACACTCACCTAGCTCACTCACTCACTCACCCACACTCACCTGGCTCACTCACACACTCACCCACACTCACCTCGCTCGCTCACTCACCCACACTCACCTCACTCACTCACCCACACTCACCTAGCTCACTCACTCACTCACCCACACTCACCTAGCTCACTCACCCACCCACACTCACCTCGCTCACTCACTCACCCACACTCACCTAGCTCACTGACTCACTCACCCACACTCACCTAGCTCACTCACTCACCCACACTCACCTAGCTCACTCACTCACTCACCCACACTCACCTAGCTCACTCACACACTTACACACACATACCACCCTGGGTCTACACACACACTCACACACACACTCACACACACTCACAAACACACTCACACACACTCACACACACTCATTCACTCACCCACACTCACCCACACTCACTCACTCACGCACCCACACTCACCTAGCTCACTCACACTCACCTAGCTCACTCACTCACCCACACTCACCTAGCTCACTCATTCACTCACCCACATCCACCTAGCTCGCTCACTCACTCACCCACACTCACTTAGCTCACTCACTCACTCACCCACACTTACCTAGCTCGCTCACTCACCCACACTCACCTAGCTCACTCACTCACCTGCACACTCACCTAGCTCACTCACTCACCTGCACACTCACCTCATTCACTCACTCACCCACACTCACCTAGCTCACTCACTCACCCACACTCACCTAGCTCACTCACTCACTCACCCACACTCACCTAGCTCACTCACTCACTCACTCACACTCACCTAGCTCACTCAATCACCTGCACACTCACTCACCTAGCTCACTCACTCACCTAGCTCACTCACTCACCCACACTCACCTAGCTCACTCACTCACCCACACTCACCTCGCTCGCTCACTCACCTGCACACTCACCTAGCTCACTCACTCACCCACACTCACCTAGCTCACTCACTCACCCGCACTCACCTAGCTCACTCATTCACCCACACTCACCTCGCTCACTCACTCACTCACCCACACTCACCTAGCTTACTCACTCACTCACCCACACTCACCTAGCTCACTCACTCACTCACCCACACTCACCTAGCTCACTCACTCACTCACCCACACTCACCTCGCTCGCTCACTCACCTGCACACTCACCTAGCTCACTCACTCACTCACCCACACTCACCTAGCTCACTCACTCACCCACACTCACCTCGCTCGCTCACTCACCTGCACACTCACCTAGCTCACTCACTCACTCACCCACACTCACCTAGCTCACTCACTCACTCACACTCACCTGGCTCACTCACACACTCACCCACACTCACCTCGCTCACTCACTCACCCACACTCACCTAGCTCACTGACTCACTCACCCACACTCACCTAGCTCACTCACTCACCCACACTCACCTGGCTCACTCACTCACTCACCCACACTCACCTAGCTCACTCACACACTTACACACACATACCACCCTGGGTCTACACACACACTCACACACACACTCACACACACTCACACACACACTCACACACACTCACACACTCACTCACTCACTCACCCACACTCACCTCGCTCACTCACTCACCCACACTCACCTAGCTCACTGACTCACTCACCCACACTCACCTAGCTCACTCACTCACTCACCCACACTCACCTAGCTCACTCACTCACTCACCCACACTCACCTAGCTCACTCACTCACTCACCCACACCCACCTAGCTCACTCACTCACTCACCCACACTCAGTTGGCTCACTCACTCACCCACACTCACCTAGCTCACTCACTCACTCACCCACACTCACCTAGCTCACTCACTCACTCACCCACATTCACCTAGCTCACTCACTCACTCACCCACATTCACCTAGCTCACTCATTCACTCACACACACTCACCTCGCTCACTCACTCACCCACACTCACCTAGCTCACTCATTCACTCACCCACACTCACCTAGCTCACTCACTCACCCACACTCACCTAGCTCACTCACTCACCCGCACTCACCTAGCTCACTCACTCACCCACACTCACCTAGCTCACTCACTCACACTCACTCACCTAGCTCACTCACTCACCCACACTCACCTAGCTCGCTCACTCACCCACACTCACCTAGCTTGCTCACTCACTCACACTCACCTAGCTCACTCACACTCACAAGGATAGAAGCGAAAGCACAGACATATAAAAAGACAGATCACCCGCATAGCCTTAACAGATTGTTAGAGCAAGTGTTGTTAGCGAATAGCACACGAGGGGGTGGGTGGCTAGCACCACGCCCGGCCGCCTTTGTCTCCACAGTGGCGATATTTAGACATCGCACCAGGTGCTCACTTAAGGCCGAGTCGATCTAGAGGAGGTGCAAGACCGGTTCAGATAATCTTCACAGGTGTTGGTGGTTGTGAGCGGAAATCGAATTCGGGTCGTCGGGTTCGTAGCGCGGCGCGCTAACACAGACACAAACAAACACAGACACTCTCTGGCACACACAGACACTCTCACACACAAGACACTCTGGCACACACAGAGACACTCTCTCACACACAGACACTCTCATACACACACTGACACTCATATTTACAAAGATCCCCCGTATAGCCGAGTGGATACTCTTGGGTAAAGTGCTCCTAGCAAGCATCAAGGCCAAGAAGCGCTTCAGACAATCGCCACTGACGTTAGCCGCGGGCTCGGATCGCCGGGTTCCTAGCGCAGTGCACGCGCGCATTAATATATACAGGATAAAGACCCCCCCCCACACCGCTAACAGCACTTGTTGGGGCAAGTGCTGTTAGCGAGTGGCAGCACGGCACACGAGGGGTTGGGTGGCCAGTACCACGCCCGGCCGCCTTTGTCTCCCCGAACCAGGCATTCATGTGAGGACGAGCCCACCTCGGGGAGTCTCAGCACCGTGAGTGGGATTCCTCCGGATTGTCGTATTGTCTATTGACGGACTGATGGGCAAGTGCTGTTAGCGAGTAGCACCTATGAATTCCGGCACGGCACACGAGGGTTGTGGGTGCCCAGCACCACGCCCGGTCCCCAGTGTCGATGTTTACTACACACTACGTTAAGGCTGAGTCGACCTAGGAGAACTCGGGTCGCTGGGTTCGCACTAACTGCTACACTACCGCTCTCCTAACCAGTATATATACAAAAGATCCCCCATATAGCCTTAACAGACTGTAGGGGCAAGTGCTGTTAGCGAGCACCTATGAAGGCCGGAGCGGTACACTAGGGGTGGGTGGCCAGCACCACGCCCGACCGCCTTTGTCTCCCTAGTGGCGATGTTTACACACCGCACCAGGTACTCATTTGAGGCTGAGTCGACCTAGGGGAGGCCCGGGACCGGTTCAGATAATCGTCACTGGTGTTGGCCGTGAGCGGGAATCGAACCCGAGTCGCCAGGTTCATAGCGCAGCGCGCTAACCGCTACACTATCGCTCCCCACAATATATATACACACACAGAGACACATACACGTGCCTTGATACGCACGGTCGAGCGACTGATGTGAATTCTCGTGATGTTCTAACAGGGCTAGAGAGCTGGATTGGTTCCACTCATCGTGGCGGGCTCGAAATTTTGTTCGACATTGCTCGAAGTCTCTGGGGAGAGACAAAGGCGGCCGGGCGTAGTTAAAGTCCGTACCACGCGTCCCAACGCAACCTTAACAGGCGCTCTCTTACGCCACTTGCCCCAACGGTATCCAGAGGCTATGCGGGTGTGGTGGGGGGGTCTTTATCTTTGCGTGGTTACACGTGTGTGCGCCGTGTGTGCGCCGTGTGTGCGCCTTTTGCGGCCGGAGGGGAACGGTAGTGCAGTGGGGTCCGCGCGCTGCGCTACGAAACCGGCACTTGACCCAGCAGTCTACAGAGGCTACCAGGGTCAGCAACACCGTCACTGATTATCTTGAACCGCTACTCGGTCTCCCCGAGCTCGACTCGGCTTAAAAAAAAAAAAAAAAACGAATACCCGGTGCGATGTGTAAAATATCGCTACTGGGGAGACAAAGGCGGCCGGGCATGGTTGCTGGCCACACACCCCCTCGTGTGGCGTGCCGGCCTTCGTAGTTGCTCGCTGCTCGATACTAACAGCACTTGCCCGAAGTGGGTGTTAAGGCTATAGGAGGTAGAGAGGGGGGGGGGATCTATACCTTTGTGTGTGTGTGTATGCGCGGCCTTAATAGGCGCTCGCTAACAGCGCTTGGCCCAACACAAAGAGGCGTGAGAGAGGGAGAGAGAGGCGGGAGGCACAATAGAAAGTGGGGAGGGAGGAGGGGGGTAGACAATGGGTTTGAAATCAAATGAACTCGTAATGAAGACGCGACCGCTGGCGCTCAAAGGAGGCAATTCCATAGCGCGGCACGATTTATTCACCATTGGGACGAGTGGGAGGGAGAGGGGGGAGTGGTGGTGGGGGGTAACTGTGCAGGGAGCGGTGGCGCAGTGGTTAGCGTCAGGAATGGAACCGGAATGGAACCAAAGGTCCATTCCTGATCACGATTTCAATAAGTGGCGAATATTTGAATCAGTGCTGGGCCTACCCCTAAGTCGACTCGGCCTTAAAATCAGTACCCTGGTGCGGTGTGTAAACGTCGCCGCTGGGGAGACAAAGGCGGCCGGGCGTGGTGTTGGCAACCGTGCCGACCTTACGAGGTGGTCGCTAACAGCACTTGTCCCACCCAGGTCTGTTAAGACGACACGGGGGATCTTTGTCGTGTGTATATTGGCGTGTCTTTTACAATGTGCTGATCATTACGGGCACACTCACTTGTGCCGTATAAACATATAGACACTTACTTGTACACTCACCTCTATACACGCATAGCCACTCGTCTATACAAAGACAAAGATCCCCCCCGTATAGCCTTTAACAGACTGTTGGGACAAGTTCTGTCAGCGAGCATCTATTAAGGTCGGCACTGCACACGAGGGGGTGGGTGGCCAGCACCACGCCTGGCCGTCTTTGTCTCCCCAGTGGCGATAGTTACACATCGCACCAGGTACTCAATTGAGGCTGAGTCGATCTAGGGGAGGCCCACGACCGGTTTAGATAATCGGCAGCGTACGTAACGCAACGCGCTAACCACTCCCCACTTACCTATTCACCTATCCACTCACCTCGCTACACTCACCACTAGACACAGACACTCAGGCGATCAGGAAGGAGCGATGGTCAAGGGAGAGTTGAGTGGGAGAGGCGGAGGAAGTCATGGGAAGTCGCTGAATGTCAGGGGGGTAGATGCGGGAGCCGGGGGGTGCACCTCCCTCCATCCCCCCCACCCCTCGCCCCCCACATCCCCGATGGATTTTTCGTCTCCGCCGACCTCGGCTGCATAATTCATGAAGCGCGGCGAGGACTCGTGTCGAGACATTGATCCGACTCCCCCGTGATCTCTCACTCCACCCCTCAACTCGCTCACAACGGCTCCACCCCTCGACTCGCCCCTAACAGCTCCACCACTCCACCTTCACCCCTCGACTCGCCCCTAACAACTCCACCCAACCAACTCCACCTGCACCCTGAATCCATCACAACTCCCCCCAACTCCACCGCCATCCCACCAACCTCTTCCCGCCTGCTCCACCATCTCAACTCCACCCTACAAACTCCATTCCACCTCCACCACCCTGACTCCAAAGATCCGACTGTTGGGGCAAGTGCTGTTCGCGAGTAGCAGCAGCACCACCTATGAAGGCCGGAACGGCACACGAAGGGGTGGGTGGTCAGCACCACGCCCGGCCGCCTTTGTCTCCCCAGTGGCGATGTTTATACATCGCACCAGGTACAGCACTGATTTGAGGCTGAGTCGACCTAGAGGAGGTCCAGGACCGGTTCAGATAATCGTCAGTGGTGTTGACCGTGAGCGGGAATCGAACTAACACCTGCATCTCTCCCCCCTAATTTCTCCACCCCCCCCCCCCCACTGCTCCACCACTCCACCCCCTAAATAGCCACCCCCACCGGATGTGCCACTAGACGGGGTCAGGGAGCAAATCTGTCTCGTGGCTGCTCACCTGTGCACTCACCTACACGCACACGTGTCTGTTGTTCAGCGTTCACCTGTACACTCACCTGTGCACGCCTGTCTGCTGACCTGTTTAACTCACCTGAACTCTGCACCTCTTCTCCCTACTGTTTTTCCCGATCCCCTACTCGCCTGATCCCCCTGCTCCACTTTCCTCCCTCCCCGTCCTGATGGTCTCCCTAATCCCACCTCCTCTTTACGCTCTCCCCTCCTGCTCCTCCACCCTCCCTCTCCCCCTTATGCTCTCCCTTCAGTTCCCACCTCTCCCCCAACTCTCCCCCCCCCCCCCCCCTCCCCCGCGCCACCTCCTCTTCTCTTCTCCTCCTTAGACGTGAAACCCCTGGAGAACCCCCGGCTGGTGGAGCAGGTGCAGGAGCAAGTAAACTCGGCTCTGCTCGAGTACACCTTGCGCTGCGGAAGCTCGAACCATCACCACGCCCATCACCACGCCCATCACCACGCCCATCACCACGCCCATCACCACGCCCATCACCACGCCCATCACCATCCCCACCATCACCCCCATCTTCAGCAGCAAGGGCAACAGCAAGCCGGAGACCGATTCGGACAGCTGCTGCTTAGATTGCCCGAGATGAGGGCCCTGAGCGCACAAGCCGAGGAATACCTCTACTGCAAGCACTTACACGGGGAGGTGCCCTGCAACAACCTCCTGCTGGAGATGCTGCACGCCAAGAGGGTGGGGTAGCGGGCGGGGGTGTTATAGACTGAGGGGGCGGGGCGGGGGATACCCTGAGGGCGAGGCTTAACATGGGGCGGGGCTCCCACGATCCAATCGGCGCGAGAGGAACAAGCTCAGTCGTTAGGCGATTGGGTGAACGCGTGCACCGGTGTGGGTGTGGCCGCCGCCTCCTCTGGTCACGTGCACGGTTCGGAATACACGCCGCACTTGCCTGATGATTGGTGAACGCACTGTCTCGCGTGGGTGGGTGGGTGATGCACGGAGCGTGGCTTTGAATTGCAGTAGAGACCGCACTCGTATATGTGCGTAACAGAAAGCATGAATTCAAATTGTAAGTAGAGGGGTCTTGTGTGTATGTTTGTATGTATGTATGTGTGTACGTCTGTGTCCCTTCGAGAAAAGCAGTGGCGCAGTGGTTAGCACGCTGCACTACGAACCCGGCGACCCGAGTTTGAATCCCGCTCTCATCGCCAACATCGGTGACAAATATCTGAACCGGTCCCGGGCCTCCCCTATGTCGACTCAGCCTCAAATGAGTACCTGGTGCAATGTGTAGACATTGCCACTGGGGAGACAAAGGTGACCGGGCGTGATGTTGGCCACCCATCCCCTTGCGTGCAATTCCGGCCTTTATAGTTGCTCTCTAACAGCACTTGCCCGAACAGTCTGCTAAGGCTATGTGGGGGATCTTTGTCTTTGTACGGGTGTATGTGTGTGTGTTGATATATAAAGAAAAAACAACAACCCATCACGTTCATGTGAATCAGTATTCTAAGCGTCACTTGAGATGACCATGTGTACCAATCATCGGGCAAGTGCAGTGTGTACACGACCGAGTCCGTGGGTGAACAGGAGTAGACCGGGTTCACAGGTGGTGAGGAACGAGGGCGTTAGAGGGGAGGGGGTTCCCCACGTTTCCCCCGCCCCCTACACCGCCCCCGCCCCCCCCCGTTTTAACTTGACTAGAGGATGACATCGCATTGAGCGTCCATACAGCACTATCAGCAAGGGGGAGGTGTTGTGGTTAAGGTCGCGGTGAGTTTTCATCATTCCGGCCGATTCATTAAAGTTCAGCACTTTGCCACCGCTGGCCCCATGTTTGCTAGGACCCGTTCTATTTGGAACCCCCAGAGACTCACGACCCGAGACACCCCCCCCCCCCCCCCCCCCCCCGTAATCCAAGACCCTGAAATGCAGGACACCCTTCATCTGGGTGGGAACTCTCGAAAGAAGACTTGACAAGCCCTCTGCCTGACTAATCCCACGAACTGGGACCCCCTATTTACCTGGGACCCATTTTATCTGAGACCCCTCTCACCGGGACCCCCCCCCCCCCACACACACACACACACCCCACCCTGGGTCTGCGGATTGACCTGGTCCTGATAGGGACCAGGTCGTCCGTGAATTCGGTATCGATGTATCTATCGTGTTGTTGTTCAAGTTGTAAAAGTTGTTGTTGATGTTGTTGGTTGTTGTTGTTTTTGCTAAATCGTTCCTTGCGAGCTTTTACCTCATGGCAGTAGCAGAGACGAGGAGACACCCGGGGGAGACGACACGGGGTGGGGATGTAAATAGACACGGCGAGAGACGGACGCATCGAGGCAGATGTAGGGAGATAGCGGGACAGAGAATAGGGAGAGAGGGAGACACGGGGGAGATATTGGGAAGCATGGAGAGACACGGAGAGAGACACGAGGAGAGACACGGAGAGAGACACGAGGAGAGACACGGAGAGAGACACGAGGAGAGACACAGAGAGAGACACGAGGAGAGACACAGAGAGAGACACGAGGAGAGACACGAGGAGAGATACGAGGAGAGACACAGGAGAGAGACACGAGGAGAGACACGGAGAGAGACAGGGGCACACGATACACGTGGGGGCGGGGCACAGGTAGGAGACATGGGAGACAGAGTCGCAGAAGGGGGACATGGTTTGGAGACACATGGGGGACATGGGTACACGTGGGGACATGTACACATAGGGATACACGGGGAGACAAGGGGAGCCACGGGGAGGCACTTGGAGACATTTGGAGACACAGGGGAGACACGGGGAGACACAGAAGATACACGGAGAGACACGGGGAGACACAGGGAGACACAGGGGATACACGGGGGAAAAAAGGGGAGACACTGGGGAGACACCGGGAGACACGGGGGTACACGCTGAGACACCGGGGAGACACAGGGGAGACACCGAAAGACACGGGGAGACACAGGGGAGACACAGGGGAGACACAGGGGAGACACGGGGAGACACAGAGGACACAAGCCGAGCCACGCGGAGACACGGGGGTACACGGGGAGACACGGGGAGCCGCGGGGAGACAGGTAGTTGTGCAAGACACGGGGAACATGTTGCGGAGGGGACACACGCGTGGAGAGACAGGAGAAGCGCGGAGACACGTGGGGAGGTTCGGTGAATGGGACACAGGTGGAGACACAGGTGGAGACAAGGAGGGAACACGGGGGGGGGGGGCGGGGGGGGGTCTGCTCCCTCTCCCCCACCTCGCTTCCCCTCTCATTCCACAGCTGCTGCTAATCTAAGCACTCGTGGTCGCGGACTCCGCACGATCCGCTTCGTGTAAAAAAAATAATCCGAATAAAGAAATGAAACCTCAGGTCGTGGTGGCGGCTGGTGGCGGTGGTGAGGCGGCGTGCCGAGGAGACGGGGAGCGCCACGGAGGCTCCACGCGGCTGTGGGTGGCGCTCCAGGGCCCCCTGCTGCTGCACGTGGGGGTGCAGCAGCAGGGGGGGGGGGCTCAACATTATACAGTAAATTATACAGTATATACAACAAAGTTTGGCTGACTGGGCTGGGCAGCTTGGCTCCACGCTCTCTCCTACCTCTCCCCTCTCATCTCACTCTACTCCCCTCCACACACTCTCCTACCCCTACCCTCTCATCTCACTCTACTCCCCTCCACACACTCTCCTACCCCTACCCTCTCATCTCACGCTACTCCCCTCCACGCCCTCTCCTATCCCTACCCTCTCATCTCACTCTACTCCCCTCCACGTACTCCCCTACCTCTCATCTCACTCTACTCCCCACCACACACTCTCTCACATACCTGTATATATAAATACAAAGATCCCCTTGTAGCCTTAAAAAAACTGTTTGGGCAGGTACTGCTAACGAGCACCTATGAATGCCGGCACAGCACACGAGGGGGCTGGGTGTCCAGCACCACGCCGGACCGCCTTTGTCTCCCCACTGCTGATATTTTCACACATGCACAGACCAATTAACTTAGGCTGAGTCGACCTAGGAGAGGCACAGGGACCGGTTCAGATATCCGTCACCAATGTCAGCCATGAGCGGGAATCAAACTCGAGTGGCCGGGTTCGTAGCGCAGTGTGCTAACCGCTGTGCCACCACTCCCCCGTAACACATAAATGCAAAAACGAAGATCCCCCGAATAGCCTCAACAGACTGTTGGAGCAAGTGCTGCTAACGAGCACCTATCAAGGCTGTCACGGCACATAGGGGGTGAGTGGCCAGCATCACGCCCGGCCGCCTTTGTCTCCCTCGTGGCAATATTTACTATTTACACATCGTACCGGGTACTCATTTGAGGCTGAGTCGACTAGAGGAGCCCCAGGACCGGTTCAGATAATCGCCACTGTCATTGGCCGTGAGCGGGAATCGAACTCGCGTGGCCGGGTGTTCGTAGCGCACTGCGCTAACCGTTCCGCCACCGCTCTCCACAGACACACACGCGTAACAACACGCGCGCGCGCGAGCGCAGGCACGCACTCACTCAATCTCTCCCACGAGAACACACATACATCCTCGCACGCACACATACGCTCACTCCGTCACCCACACAGACACGCACACGCGCGCGTGCAGCACACACATACACACATACACAAATACTCCTCGTGTAGCCTTTAACATGCTGTTGGGGCAAGTGCTGTTCGCGAGCACCTATGCAGGCCGGCACGGCACACGAAAGGGTGGATGGCCAGCACCACGTCCGGTATTTACACACCGCACCAGGTACTCATTTGAGGCCGAGTCGACCTAGGGAGGGCCCAGCACCGGTTAAGATAATCGTCACCGGTGTTGGTTGGCCGTGAGCGGGAATCGAACTCGGGTCGCCGTATGCGTAGCGCAGCGCACACGTGGGAGGTGGAGTGGATGGATGGTCAGCCCCACGCCGACCACCTTTGTCTCCCCAGTGGACCCATACACATTAACTTACCGATCCAACATCTCTCTCTCTTTTCGCTCATTCTCTCTGTCATATACAACAAAGACAACTCTCTCTCTCCCGCGTAGCCTTAACAGACTTATGGGGCAAGTGCTGTTAGCGAGTAGTAGCAGCACCTATGAAGGCCGGCACGGTACACACCAAGGAGTTACCCCACTCTCTCTCTTTCACACACGCTCTCCCCCCACCCTCTCTCCCCACTCTCTCCCCACTCTCTCCCCCCGCACGCTCTCTCCCCACTCTCTCTCCCCGCTCTCTCCCCACTCTCTCTCCCCACTCTCTCTCTCTCTCTCCACTCTCTCCCCGCACGCTCTCTCCCCGCTCTCTCACCGCTCTCTCCCCCCGCACGCTCTCTCCCCGCTCTCTCCCCGCACGCTCTCTCCCCGCTCTCTCCCCACTCTCTCCCCCCGCACGCTCTCTCCCCCCGCACGCTCTCTCCCCGCTCTCTCCCCACTCTCTCCCCCCGCACGCTCTCTCCCCACTCTCTCCCCCCGCTCTCTCCCCACTTTCCCCACTCTCTCCCCGCTCTCCCCACTCTCTCCCCGCTCTCTCCCCACGCTCTCCCCCCGCTCTCCCTCCGCACGCTCTCCCCCCCCCCCCCCCCGCTCTCTCCCCACTCTCTCTCCCCACTCTCTCCCCCGCATGCTCTCTCCCCACTTTCTCCCCGCTCTCTCCCCACTCTCCCCACTCTCTCCCCACTCTCTCCCCCCGCACGCTCTCTCCCCACTCTCCCCACTCTCTCCCCGCTCCCCCCCCCCCCCCCCCCACTCTCTCCCCACTCTCCCCACTCTCTCCCCGCTCTCTCCCC